AGGCACCAGGGCTAAGTGTGTGTCGGTCTCTAATGGGAAGTAGAGTCAGGTTCTTTCTGATGCTGGTGCACCTCCTAGAATGCAGCCACAATGTTGGCTACACTGGCCAGGGCAGCTGCATCCAGGCAGCCTGGAGCTTCTGTGTAACAGCCAGAGACCCATCTCCACTCCACTGCCGGCGTTTCCACCAGGAGGGTGAAAAAGAAGAGAGGAGGGAATTGAGCACTAAGATCTGCCAATGCCTGGCCTCCCACATGGAAAGAGCAGTGAGGAAGTGAGGGGCTGCGCCGGGTCAGGAGTCTGTGCAGGTGTCTACACATGGGGTCACCAAAGGGAGCAGGGATGGGGCACTCAGAGACTCAGAAAACCACAACTCTAGGGAAGACACCTAGGAGCAGAACAAAGGCAAGAAAAGGAAGAAGGGAGACTCCATCCGGAGTCCTCAGAGAGGGCTGGCGGCCACGCCTGGGATGCTCTCTTTAGAGGAGCAGGCTTCCTGTGAGCCTGGACAACTTGCTCCGCTCCTTGCTCATCTTTTCTCCTAGCCTCCCAGCCGGCCGCCTTCTGTGTCCCTAACCCCTCGACTGTGCAGCAGCTAGTGGCCCAGGGCTCTGCCCTCACGGAGAAGTAGGCTTCCTTTGGTTTCAGTTCCCATGACCTGCCACCCTCATAGCTTGGGCACACTTGCTTCCTGGAAGAGGCTCTGGTCCCACTGAACCATACCCTACCTTTGTTAGGTTCCTCTTGGCATGCCTTTGGGCTCTTGATTTGGGATTTCTCTGCCTCTCCACTCTCTGGCTTAAAAGGGATCTGAGGCCCATGTCATTCTGACATGCCCTTCTCCTAAGCAGGTGTGGCCAGAGGATGGGGTGCTTGGCCCTGAGGGTGTCCAGAGTCAATCTGTGCCTCTCTCACTGGGTGAGGATCACTCCATTTTTCTTCTCTATCTTTCCTAGTCCCTGCTCTAGGTCAGGCAGTTCTTTCTGGGGTGCAGGAAGGGAGCAGAGTATCTACTACAGTGATGGAGGTGCAGTCATCCCTTATTTAGGAGACGTTCAGGAGGCTCCCAGCTACCTGAGTGGACTACTCCTCCAACCCTACCTGCTTCTACCTTGGACCTCTTTCTCCTTTTCCCCAAGGGGTGCTAATAACAAGGAACCAGCCTCACCCCCTCCCACTCCTCCTGCCCCTCCAGCCCTCCAAGGTTCAGGTTCTGTTTTCCCTCTGTTCACCAATGACCTCTGGAAGGTGGAACTGCTTTTGTCAATGTTTCCTTCTTAGACATCTGTCAGTGCTGCTGTTACCTGGGTCAAAGTTCTTCTCCATTACTTCTTCCCACTCTGCCCACATTCTCTGTCCTAAGAGAGTTTTCACGGGGAAGAGGGAATTTGGCGCAGTAGCTTAGGCTACCCATACCCCAGTCCTGGTAGAAGGTGGACTCATACCTCATGGTTGCTATGGCAGAGTGAAGGGAGTGTACTCCATGTTGACCATTGAGAGAGGGTAGAAGTGGCCTTCCCTCCTGTTCTGCTGGTGAGGGTAGCCATTATTTTTCCCAGCTTGGGGTTCCCCATCTGGTTTTCCATTTGCAGTTGCTTGAAATAAATCATTTTCTGGGGAAAACATTGATAGGCATTTGATGAACAAAGACATCTATATCCATTTTCTGTATATTATGATACTGAAGCTTATCTAACCGTATGACTGAGCACTGTTCTGTGAGTCTTATGTGTATGTGTACAGCTGTTTAATCATGATAGCTCTGTGAGACTGGCACTGCTCTCATAGTTTCTAGTTTACAGCTGAGGAAATGGGAGTGTAGAGGGGTCAAGTAAATTACGAAGCAGAGGGGGTGTGGGTGAGAGGCCAGAGCACTGAATGATGGCGGCAGGAAGATGAGGAACACTCTTTACTGAATCCTTTTTTTTGTTATCTTTTATCCTGTATATTAGTTTATTGCTACTACAGTTGGTTAAGTATCTAAAGGAATGTCTATTTAACTCACAGTTCAGGAGGTTCAATGCACGGTGCCAACATCAACTCAACTCAGCTTTGGTGTTGGCCTTCTGATGGAATAGCACCAGAGAGGGAGGGAGGGAGGGAGGGAGAGAGAGAGAGAGAGAGAGAGAGAGAGAGAGAGAGAGAGGAAGAGGAGGAAGAGAAGGCGGCGGAGGAGGAGAAGGAGAGAGGAGAGAAGAGAGTGCATTATCACATTATCAGTCAGGAAGCCCCAGAAAGGTCTCATCTTCAGACAGGAAGTCAAAGGGTAATTCACAGGCCAGGTTCAGGCTTTTGAAAAAACCAGCTCTAAGGAGAATCACTCCGTGAGACTAGCATTCCCTCCTAAGGACCTCCCACTTGATCACACCTCTTGAAGGTCCCATAGTGTCTCACATTACTTCAGTGAAGACCAAGTTCCCAACACAAGCACTTGGGGAACACACTCAAACCTTACCTAAACGACAGAACTCTGAGAATGCATTACCTATCATTAAAATAAACAAATAAAAGAATGTATGTATTGTGGACATTACTGTATCGCATCCCCCAGAAGTGCCTGGCCGTGGCTCTGGTATCAGAGTAGGGAACACTGGACCAGGAAACAACATCTGGTGATGGGTCTAATCTATCATAAATGTGTCCTCACTGGGCCTTGGTATCATCTTCCATAAAATGTGAGTGCTGGGGGCTGGAGGGTGAAGTCATGTTAACATTTAAATATCAGTGTTTCATTGCTAATTTGATAGTCCAACTCACCTTAGAAACTTTTAGGCATATAACTTCCCCAGCTCTCTTATTCTGATTTTAATATAAGCCTGGGATGCAGTTTGGAGATTGATGTCTTCTAAAAGTCATCACTTGAGGTAATTCTGAATTTGGTGAAACTGGGCTCAGAAACTCCTGACTAGATGATCCTTCAGTGGCTCCTTCTGCCCCTAAAATTCCCTGTCTGGTAGAGTACTGAGTTCCACACCAGGTCCAAGCTGTCCCCAGCCTTGCCCTGTCCTTAACCCTTCAAGCTTTCTTGGAGGCTTAGACACAGTGTTCATTCTAGGCCACCTCAAAAGGAAAGGGAAATGAAAGGGGAGGGCTAGGTTCTTCTCTGCACCCAACCCCCCACCTCTATTCCTACTGGGAGGTGTTCTCTGAGGGCTGAGTCCCTGAGCGCTAGAGTGGCCCAGGAGGGTGGCAAGGTCCCCAACTGAAAACAGAGACAGAAACTTTCACCTGTCTCAGAGCTCTGTGGATTCTGATCTCCTTCCAAAGGCCTTTGATTCCCTGGGGGAACATAGTGTGTTTTTGTGCTACTTTCAGATCCTGGCAGATATTCTACAACATTCTCATTTTTTTCTCCCTTGAAATTCAGCATTTAATGAAGCTAGGAGTTTAATTCAGCAGGGAAAAGCCCCGAGGAGTTAATAAAATGACGTGGGAGATCTTAACTGAGGTTGGCTACTTAGAAGTTATGTAACTACAAAAAGCATAGTTGCACGGGTTGCAGTTACAGCTATTCATACACTCAACATTCCTGTTTTCACACAGTTTTGGGTATTCAGTGATCTCCCTTCCTCTCTCCCTCTTTCCTCCCCTTCCTTTTTTGTCTTCCTTCCTTCTTCCTGTCCTTCTCCTCCCTTCTTCTACTCTGGACTTCCTCCCTTCCTCTCCTTTCCTTCATTTCCCTCTCTTCCTTCCTCTCTCCCTCCCTTCTAGTCTCTCTCCTAACTGCCCTCCTTTTCTCCTTCCCTTCTTCCCTTCCACCTTTTGTCCTCCTTCCCTCTCTTCCTCCCTCCCTCCCTCCCTCCCTCTCTTCCTTCTTCCCTTCCTCCCTCCCTTACCTCTCCCTTTCTCCTTCCCTCCCTCCCTCCCTCTCTTCCTTCCTCCCTTCCTCCCTCTCTCCCTCACTTCCTCCCTCCCTTTCTCCTTCCCTCCCTCCTCCCTCCCTTCCTTCCTTCCCTCCTTCCTTCCTCCTTCCCTCCCTCCCTCCTTCCCTCTTTCCTTCCTTCTTTCCCTCCCTCCTCCTTCCCTCCTTCCATCCTCCCTCCCTCCCTTCCTTCCTTCTTTCCTTCCTTCCTTCCTTCCTTCCTCCTTCCCTCTTTCCCTCCCTCCTTCCCTCCTCCCTCCCCCCTCTCTTTCTCCTTTCTACCAGCTCTCCTCCTCATTCTTTCCTTTCCATCCCCCCTTCATTCCCTCCCTGCTTCTATTCTCCATCTCCTTCTTCCCCCAAGGCAAGGTCTGGGCCTGGGATAGCAGGTGCTGATGTGAGCTCTTCCTGCCATGTAGAGAGATGTGTGAGTGCTCAATCCACTGCAGCCCAGAGAGAATGTGGCTCCCCAGGTTTTGCAGTTTTATGGTGAGTCTATCTGTATTTCCAAGTCAGTTATTACTCGTGATTGATGCTCACTGGCCAAGCCCAAACAAACGTGTGGCACACACTCCACATACCACACACAGACACAAATATTTGCTTTGCTCACATGGCTGGGAAGAGGATGCCATTTCTACATGGGAGAAGCCGTGTGATTAGCCGTCCTGCTGCAGCCTCGTCCCCGAAGAAGGCACATTCTGCCACTATTATCCACTTTCTTAGGACTAGTATTCACGAAGATGGCTTACTGTGCCAAGTGGAGGGGTCTTCTACCTCCAGAGACGATGTGGGAGAGGAGTCTCCACTCAGAGCACAGCCTTTGGTCAGCTTCCCTTCCTCTCTCCAACCTGACTAATGACAGGTCTTTTCCCAGATGTATTTTTATCTCTGGACAAATAGCAGCTGGGCCGAGTGGGCCTTTTTTATGAGTTGAGGTACTCACGGGTGGAAAATAAACAGCCAGGTAATGAGACGTTCTTATGGAAACTGGCATAAATAATAACAAAGCAAACATCCTGTCCCTTGTGCCGACACCCCTGGGTAAGGGGATATAAAAGCTGTTGTCCTGCTGGTCACCGTCAGATCTAGGGAACCTCGGCCGCATTCCTGACCTGCGACCTGACCGGCTGGGACCATGGGGTGCTGCCCGGGGGACTGCTTCAACTGCTGCTCCCAGGAACAAGACTGCTGTGAGGAGTGCTGCTGCCAACCCTCCTGCTGCGGCTGCTGCGGCTGCTGTGGCTGCTGCGGCTGTGGAGGCTCTGGCTGTGGCGGTGGCGGCTGCTGCGGAGGAGGATCTGGCTGTGGAGACTGCGGGGGCTGCGGGGGCTGCGGAGGCTGCGGGGGCTGCGGAGGCTGCTGTGGATCCTGCTGCGGCGGCTCCGGGTGCTGTGGCACCGGGTGCTGTGGCCCAGTGTGCTGTCAGCCCACACCTGTGTGCGAGACGAAATGAAGACCTTTCCCCCCCAGGCTGAGGCAGTGTCGGGGGAAGCTTCCACCTGCTGCAGCTGGGGGAGACCTCCTCATCTCCAGAACCCTCCACACCTCCAAGACAGTGTCCTGCCTCTCACGTTATTTGGAGAGGAGAGCTTGCCCTGGTGTCCCAAGGCACCGAGAACAAGAGAGCCATTTCCTAGCAAGAAATTAAAGCTGGGTTCCAGTGAGCTGATCCCCAAGTTCAATGTTCATGACTTTATTTGCATGAAGTCAAATGCTTTGCCACTATAAGGCATTCTCTTACTCAAGCATCTTGGGACCAGTCCTCCACCCCAGCTTTCTGCTCCTTTGAAATTCTGTTACCCTCGTAATAAATTCAAACGTGCTGGCGTACCCTATCGGTCCTCTTGCCTCTTCCTTCAACCCTCCCAGGGACTAGGTTAGGAAGATGCATCCACCTAGGATTGCACAATGCAGTCTGCAGATCCCTTGCATCAGTCACCTGGAGGCAGGTTAAAACTGGAGATCTGGCGCCTTCCCTGGAACATAAGAAGATGCTGCAGGGGGGCAGCCTGGGGACCTATGGTTTTAGAAACAGGACAACAGGTAATTCTCTACAGGGAGGGTGGAGGCTGGAGACAGATGTAGACAGAAGCTGCCGAGTGCTGAGGGAGATTGGCGGGTTGGGGGGAGGCTTTGATCAATAGAAAACCTGGGGCTTCACCACCTTGGTTCTAGGGCCTTAGATGCCCCAGGACCACATTTTTTAAAAGCTGCTAGGTAAATGCTAATGCTAATCATTTAAAATCCTGAACAAGCGGCATGGCTACCTTCTGCACTGTGGCTCTCTTGGGATAGTTTTACCAGAGGACTTCAGGCTTGGTCTGAACCTTCTGGCAAAGGCAGAGGAGAAGGCATTGGTAAATCAATCTCGGTTCTTTTTTCTTTTCTTTTTTTCTTCACTGCTGGAGATTGAACCTAGAACTTTGCATACATGCTAAGGAAACCCCTTACCACTGGGCTGTACTCTCTGGTCTCCTTTTACTTTTTATTGTGAGACAGGGTCTTGCTAAGTTTCCCAGGCTGATTTTAAATTTATAATCCTCCTGCCTCAGCCTCCTGAGTGGCTGGGAGTATAGACCTGTCCCATCATGTCCAGCTGAGCTTGCTGACTCCTGTGCCAGGCTGTGTGAGCATACAGTTCCTAAGGATGCTTCTAGTGGTCCATATCCTACTTCAGCCTCATGTCCTTGGGTCCCTTTTCTGGGCCAGGTTTTCTTGTTCTAGATCCAGCCCCAGTTACTCTGCTGAGGGGAGGAGGGAGGGTGCATTGCTGAGCAGGGCCTGACCCAGAGTAAAACCCAACAGGGACGTTAAAATGGAAATGATCGTGGATTTAACCTCTTGCTGAAAATGATTTTAAATTACTTGTGGAATAAAATCTCCATTTCTTGTCCTGAGAGAACACTATTTATTTTGGCCTCTACAAAGGGGAACA